TCTACTTTCTGTGCTTTCATTATAGTCTTCAGTTCATCAGGAAGTTTGGAGATTTAGGTCGGACCTTTGTTACCAGTGGACAAGGTCCCAGTTGTTTTATCACGCACCGGCCAATTGTTCCGTCGAATGGTGGTTTGAGAATGGAAGAGCCATGGGCAACCAACTCTACTTTGAATTCCAACATCACGTACTTTGTTTCAAGGTAACACATTTGGCTGCAGCTTATATCTTCCAATGGTGATAGGATACGCTTCTTTCATTTCCCAGCATTAATGGAACACGCTCCTTCATTTTTAAACTGGGAGAATTGTTGTGTTCTTTCGTGAATGACCTTAAAGTCAATTCATGGGGAAAATAAAGTCCATTTTGTAAGGTGGGGCCAATTGGGAACAATAAGTGCTTACTAAAAGGACTTTTGGTGTCTCCCCTGAATATCTAACACTTGATCCAGAGTGATCTTCAGGTTCATATAGACAAGATGAGAAGGTTTCTGTTACACTCTGGGCATATTCCTAACTGCTAGGGAGCAGAAGACAACTTTGAATATTTTAGGAAGTCCACGATGAGATGAGTTTTGCATGCTCCACTATTTGGTTCAACAGGGAAGGGATACAGAAATGCTTATGTAATGAAGGTCGGGTAGCTTGAAGATCACTGGATTGTTGGCCTCCGGTTGACGACATGGCCCTAGACTGCAATATGGGCTCCCCCTGCTGTCCTGGCAAATTCCATGGCACCTAACAATGCAGAAACACACCGTAACTGGAGAAATATGTGGCTTCTAAAATATGGGCAGCCAAGGGTACGGGGTATTTGACAGCCACCCAAAGTTTCTCGATGGAGTGATTTCATATCCCTTTCTTACACAGAATAATAACAGCAATTCCAACAAGAAAACGAAAAAACAAGAAATACAAAATGAGAAGGATTCACCATAGGTCGGCGGTATGACATTGACGTAGATGGCAGGATGCGTGCTGTTTCACTGCTGGACAATATCCGTTCTCCCATAGTGCTTTGCAGTATGTTTAGTCAATCCATCAACAGACTGCGGTCATCTCAATCCAGGTTGTGACCGGGATCTGCTCTGCAATGCATTCTGGAACTGGTCCTGATGCTGGAACGGCCGAGCCCAGTAGCTGGTGCCACCTCTCGGTTGGCCTCCTCCCATGCTGCCCCGAATGAGCACAATCCTGAGGTATTCGACATTGCTTGTTTGTGCTAAGGTTAGGCATGTGTTGCGGGGCGGCGAGGGGTACAGGACTCAGAAGGTTCCTAGGAGAAGGCGGATGGTCTGTACAGGAACCAGCAACATGGGAAGAGGCAAGAAGCAGTCTGTGGGACCTTGCCTTAAGGAGACCACCACACGTACAAACACTGAAATTTCACTCCAACATAGCATCCAGCTGGTCTGCAAGGTCATCAAACATGCTGCCAATGTCATCCAGAATACTGACTGTGCTCTTCTCCTTCAGGGAACTGGCCGCACAGGGGAAAGAATAAAGAGAACAACATGGTCAGACTATGCTAGGGAAAACCTAAAGTAGTAAACTAGCTGATTGGCTGAACTGTGCCCACAAACATCACAAACAGTCAGCAGTTGTTACGTATAAATAAAGTTTGATTTTTTTCAAGGTCACTGTTTTAGAAGTGCCTCCAATCGAGGTCCTTACCAAGCATTTACAATGTGTTACCAATAATAACATTACAAGAAAAGGACAACTTTATGACAGAATATTATAAATTGCGGCTAGAAGCTTGCAAAGTGAGCTTTCTGGCACAGTATGGTTGTTCCCGATGGGGGTGTGCTTTCAGTGTATGGTCGTTCCCGGTGGGATGGTGCTGTCAGTGTATGGTCGTTCCCGGTGGGATGGTGCTGTAAGTGTATGGTCGTTCCCGGTGGGATGGTGCTGTCAGTGTATGGGCGTTCCCGGGGGGATGGTGCCGTCAGTGTATGGTCGTTCCCGGTGGGATGGTGCTGTCAGTGTATGGTCGTTCCCGGTGGGATGGTGCTGTCAGTGTATGGTCGTTCCCGGTGGGATGGTGCTGTCAGTGTATGGTCGTTCCCGGTGGGATGGTGCTGTCAGTGTATGGTCGTTCCCGGTGGGATGGTGCTGTCAGTGTATGGTCGTTCCCGGTGGGATGGTGCAGGCTGTGTTAGCCGCCTGGCGCCCCTCTTGCCAATGCCGCCCTGTGCTCACCATGGCAACAGGGGCAAGGAGGTGCAGCCAGGCCGAGTTTAGTGTCACTTTAGTTGGATACAAATGACAGGACTTTCCAGGACCAGTAAGTGGCCCGGACCTTCCTTGTGGAGCCTTGTCATAGACGTGACAGCTAGGAATGAATCATTCATTAAGATCTGATGTATCAGAAGATGCCATTTGTAAAATCTCATCCACTGTAATGAAATCTTGTATTCTGTAGTACCTACAGGCCTGAAGATTCACAAATTGTTGGCCGTTTTGTGAAATTCACAATTCAGTAATATTCTGCAAATTCCCCAAATCCTCCGTGAGGTCGGAGAGCTTCAACAGAACAATCACCTAGATAGAAACCCTAAAAAATGTTTTTGATGGTTTAGATGTTGATTAATGCAAAGCAAAACCACAAATCACCGGGGGGCAAATGTGGTCACACCCAGCAAATCCTTAAAGGGCAGACATTAAACTGTACTCAGGGCAATGTAAGAAATCTATTCAGTCCGGCAAGCTGAACTGGTGGACCCCTCACTCCATCTATGTGACTCTAAGAGGTTCAATACTTCGTTTATGGCCCTTTTCTCTGGGTTCAAATGTTGCAACTGTTACTATAGAATCACTATTATTATTTTTCTAGAATTAGGTTGGTCCGGTCATCACAAGATATTATAAAGATCAATTACACTCTATTTAGCTGATTGTTCCATTTGCATTGGACATGGATACTCTGTTAGGTACCAACCACAGCTTCAGCACAGATAGTCGTCAGCACGCTGCCACAGCTATTTGATCTTCCCATAAAAATGACTGACTTTCAGAAAGTCAGAGGCGCTCCCAGCCATTGTTTAGACCTGGGGGTTGGTCTCCCAGGGCAGTGAACATTGGATTGTGGGTTGCAGAAAGGGGTAATCCTAGTAATTCCCATACTGGGGAGCGGGCAATATCTGGGAGCTCCAGCTATGGGGACTATACTGTACGTACAACTATATGTAAAGGTTGTAATGTGGCACCTTATGGTACCGTCTGTTTGGCAGTTCATTTAATTTGCTTGCATTGCTCTGATTATAACTCTAAACCTACACTGGCCTAGAGACGTAGAAGCGGCAGCAATGCTCCTGAAATATACCTTTGTTGATTTCTCTGAGGAACCCAGAAGCCCCCCTCTCCTCTTTTTCTCACCCACCAACCCTCTGCCAATGTGCACCTCCTTACTGGATCTGGAGGAATGGTACACTGCAAAGTAAAGCACAGCTCCAACCTTCAACATAAACTGCAGAATAGAGAAGACTTAAAGAGATCAACAAAGACATGTGCGGGCTCCTGTTGTGAAGTGTAGCCCTCCTTACCATCTTGTCTTGAATTGTATTGTAATGTCTTCCTTATATTGTAAAGCGCTGCGCAAACTCTTGGCGCTCTATAAATCCTGTATAATAATAAGTGTAAGAAGTACAGAATTTAGACCCTATAGCCACCACAGGTTTACTTAAAGAGGCTGACACTCTGAATTTGGGAGCTGGGGAAGGTGTTATTAATGATCCGACCAGCACAGCATGGGGGGGGGGCTGAGAAGCTCACTGTTCCAGAGAAGGTTGGATGACCTCACTCGGTACATTTATATTTGCGTGCATAGAACCTTGTCTCTAGAGCTGTTTTATGATGACGCCACTGACCTAAAGGAAAAGAACTGTACACATTGCAGTGCAGTTCTTATAAAAGTATCCTTCACATGCACAAATGTCCTGCAGGACGAGAAAGCCTCTCACATCATTCTTCCCTATAACCCCATAACTGGTACCCAATGGCACACTCAATTCAGCATCACAAACAAAAACAGCCCCCCGACGGTGTCCAGGGCAATTTGGTTTATAACAGGCTTTGGTGATCCCAGCTGACTCTCCACGCAATTCTGGAGTAGGGTTGTATATTTACATATGAAAGGGCTCCCGGTGATGTGTTTTGTTGTGGAGACTCAGCGTTCCAAACCTTTGCCTTTACAAAGCCCAGGCACATATCCCAGTACACATATCATCCTTCCAAATAAGAATTGTATGGAGGCAAGGCACAACCTATACAACTCAAAGTAAACATCAATAAATAATAAAAAACAATGCAACAATAACAATATAAAACAAAAAAACGCAGAAAGGCCCTTAAAAGTCTGGAATTTGTGCTATTTCTGTTTTCCTATAGGCTGGGTATATTCAGTCAGTCTCTTTGTGACTTCCACATATCAAAAAATAAAGGGATTCAATTGTTAGAGATTTGTACTCGTCCCTATCAGTCACTTTACAGGTTTTCTACTATTAAATTCTACTTTCTGTGCTTTCATTATAGTCTTCAGTTCATCAGGAAGTTTGGAGATTTAGGTCGGACCTTTGTTACCAGTGGACAAGGTCCCAGTTGTTTTATCACGCACCGGCCAATTGTTCCGTCGAATGGTGGTTTGAGAATGGAAGAGCCATGGGCAACCAACTCTACTTTGAATTCCAACATCACGTACTTTGTTTCAAGGTAACACATTTGGCTGCAGCTTATATCTTCCAATGGTGATAGGATACGCTTCTTTCATTTCCCAGCATTAATGGAACACGCTCCTTCATTTTTAAACTGGGAGAATTGTTGTGTTCTTTCGTGAATGACCTTAAAGTCAATTCATGGGGAAAATAAAGTCCATTTTGTAAGGTGGGGCCAATTGGGAACAATAAGTGCTTACTAAAAGGACTTTTGGTGTCTCCCCTGAATATCTAACACTTGATCCAGAGTGATCTTCAGGTTCATATAGACAAGATGAGAAGGTTTCTGTTACACTCTGGGCATATTCCTAACTGCTAGGGAGCAGAAGACAACTTTGAATATTTTAGGAAGTCCACGATGAGATGAGTTTTGCATGCTCCACTATTTGGTTCAACAGGGAAGGGATACAGAAATGCTTATGTAATGAAGGTCGGGTAGCTTGAAGATCACTGGATTGTTGGCCTCCGGTTGACGACATGGCCCTAGACTGCAATATGGGCTCCCCCTGCTGTCCTGGCAAATTCCATGGCACCTAACAATGCAGAAACACACCGTAACTGGAGAAATATGTGGCTTCTAAAATATGGGCAGCCAAGGGTACGGGGTATTTGACAGCCACCCAAAGTTTCTCGATGGAGTGATTTCATATCCCTTTCTTACACAGAATAATAACAGCAATTCCAACAAGAAAACGAAAAAACAAGAAATACAAAATGAGAAGGATTCACCATAGGTCGGCGGTATGACATTGACGTAGATGGCAGGATGCGTGCTGTTTCACTGCTGGACAATATCCGTTCTCCCATAGTGCTTTGCAGTATGTTTAGTCAATCCATCAACAGACTGCGGTCATCTCAATCCAGGTTGTGACCGGGATCTGCTCTGCAATGCATTCTGGAACTGGTCCTGATGCTGGAACGGCCGAGCCCAGTAGCTGGTGCCACCTCTCGGTTGGCCTCCTCCCATGCTGCCCCGAATGAGCACAATCCTGAGGTATTCGACATTGCTTGTTTGTGCTAAGGTTAGGCATGTGTTGCGGGGCGGCGAGGGGTACAGGACTCAGAAGGTTCCTAGGAGAAGGCGGATGGTCTGTACAGGAACCAGCAACATGGGAAGAGGCAAGAAGCAGTCTGTGGGACCTTGCCTTAAGGAGACCACCACACGTACAAACACTGAAATTTCACTCCAACATAGCATCCAGCTGGTCTGCAAGGTCATCAAACATGCTGCCAATGTCATCCAGAATACTGACTGTGCTCTTCTCCTTCAGGGAACTGGCCGCACAGGGGAAAGAATAAAGAGAACAACATGGTCAGACTATGCTAGGGAAAACCTAAAGTAGTAAACTAGCTGATTGGCTGAACTGTGCCCACAAACATCACAAACAGTCAGCAGTTGTTACGTATAAATAAAGTTTGATTTTTTTCAAGGTCACTGTTTTAGAAGTGCCTCCAATCGAGGTCCTTACCAAGCATTTACAATGTGTTACCAATAATAACATTACAAGAAAAGGACAACTTTATGACAGAATATTATAAATTGCGGCTAGAAGCTTGCAAAGTGAGCTTTCTGGCACAGTATGGTTGTTCCCGATGGGGGTGTGCTTTCAGTGTATGGTCGTTCCCGGTGGGATGGTGCTGTCAGTGTATGGTCGTTCCCGGTGGGATGGTGCTGTCAGTGTATGGTCGTTCCCGGTGGGATGGTGCTGTCAGTGTATGGTCGTTCCCGGTGGGATGGTGCCGTCAGTGTATGGTCGTTCCCGGTGGGATGGTGCTGTCAGTGTATGGTCATTCCTGGTGGGATGGTGCTGTCAGTGTATGGTCGTTCCCGGTGGGATGGTACTGTCAGTGTATGGTCGTTCCCGGTGGGATGGTGCTGTCAGTGTATGGTCATTCCTGGTGGGATGGTGCTGTCAGTGTATGGTCGTTCCCGGTGGGATGGTGCTGTCAGTGTATGGTCATTCCTGGTGGGGGGGTGTTGTCAGTGTATGGTCGTTTCTTCCAGGAGGAAGAGGGGCGAGCTATCAGCGAATAGTTGTTGCAGGGGGTTGGGGCTACGTGCTGTGAGCGGCTCTGTTCGGCATCCCGCCCAGCTAACTGACTTCACTGGTTGCCAGGAGCTCGGCAGGACGCCAGCCAGACCGTCTTGCTCAGATTGCGGCAACCGGTGAGTTGGGCAGGAAGCCGGACAGCGCGTCACAGGTTGCTAAGAGCTCTTAGAAACTTGGGATGCTGTGGCTGCCCTTCCCCAACGACACACAAAAACACACACGCACACACACCTGCCGCCACCCAATGAGAGGCCGGCTTAATGCTTTGACCATATATCTAGATACCAATATCTAAGTCCTTCGGGTTGGCACTTACTCTTTCTGTGAATCCTCCTGTTTAATCTTCTCCTCCACAGCTTGCAGTGCTGCAGCCAGTGACGCGCTGGTCTCCTCCAGCTTCTGCTGCGCGGCCTCGTTACTCCCTCCCTCTATGGAAGAGCTGGTGATGGACAGTCTGGGGGGCTTGATGGGAACCTGTAGAGGGTGACCCGGAGTCAGGGGCTTAGCGGGGCTGGAGCACAGGGACGGGGGAGTGCTGGAAGGTTTGATGTTGTTCGGTTGCTTGACGGGAGAAGGGGCTGGAGTTGAGCTGGCACTAGAGGACTGAATGATGGCATGAGGTTTTGGGGGTTTAGGGGCTATTGGGGGAGGAGTAGGTTTGGGGAAGACAGGAGGAGGTGTCCCCATTACCTTCCTTACTTCTGAAACACAAAAGAGAAAATTATATCAGACAAATTTTGTTTTTAATGCATTCTGTTTTAATTTTTAAAACCAAACGGCAAGCACGTGTCTTTCCTATATTACAGATATACACGTAGATTAAAGAAAAACGAAAGATAAAAAGAAAACTCCAACCACCTGACCCACCGGAAGCTCGAAGCTCCTCCTCCTGTCAAGTATTACATAATCATAGACTGATAGGATGGACAAACACATTCAAAATAAAGGTAGAGATCTATGGAAGGTGAATGGCAAGTATATGTATACAAAAACCAGGAGTTCCACACCTCTTCTAAACCTGATCATCTTATTGGGTGTATAAGAAGAACTCCGGGCATTTTAAAAATGAACCCTTGCAGTGGGGCTACCCCCACCCTGCAAAGGCTGAGCTTGTTTTGGTTCAGGGGCCGGAAAAAAAGAAGATACACTCACCTGATCCCGGATGTACATTGTGTACCCCTGAGTACTTGCCCACTAAGCACCTGATCATGTGTGTAGCTGTTGTAAGATAGCTGAGGCCTTGGACTGCATAGTAAAGCTGCTGTTGACATAGACAAGCCCCCAGAACCATATCTGCCCAGAGCCCTTTCCCTACATAGAGCGGGTAGGCTCCTGGCAGTCAATTTAGCAGCATTGCTTTGCCAGGAAAGAAATCAATGTATGCATGAGAAGTAGGACATAGAGGGTGGGGGAACGGTGCAATTCTGTAGATCTGGTTATGACAAACGCAGCAGAGGGACTTTGGAAAAGTCTAACTGGCAGGTTAACCTATTGGAATGATTGGGCTGTTTTACCGCACTGTACGTAACGCACTGCAACAGACCAAACATGCGGTAAAAGGGCACCTTAGTTGTAATCTGCATTTCATTTACTCGTTTCTATTACCTTTCTTGTTTGGACCCTTTCCTCCTCCATCCGTTCCTCCAATCAGCGCTGGAGGATCGGAGAGAGGGGAAGCCCAGCGGGGAGTGATAACAGTCACGGCTCTCTGCAGGGTGATGATCGGAAAGTGAGCGAGCGATGGTATGTGTTCGCTCACTTCCCAATCTATAGAGCCGACCTGTGACAGTTTAATTGTCACACGGCGGCTCCAACTACGAGGATGAGTGAAAATCACTCACCTCATAGTTCTCCTTTAAAGCATTATTTGTCCTAAAGGGACCAAGCTTATATGCTTTACCAAATTTGGACAAATATAAGGTTTGATTTAATCCCCACCCTCAGTATATGCTTACCTTTCTTTTGCTTCTCCACAGCTTGAGCCAAAAAAACATAGGAGGTACTTCTGGATATAAGGGGCATATAAAGGGCATGTGACTTACTCCATGTGAAAATGCTCGGCTAATCAGCAGTGCTATTACATGGGAAGTCCTTAGCCCTGTGTACGCAGCAACATGTAACTTATACAAGGCATTTTTCTTCACTCCCAGCGGCTGACTAGAGTGGCATAGGAGTGAAGGAAAAGGTAGGTATATAATTCAGGGAAGAGAGCATTTAAGTGAACCTGTTGCTCTGCCCAACATACCCAGCGAGCCATTATCTATCTAGCCATTGCTAATAAAGCTGCCATAGGGGTGAAGATTTCCAAACCCATCTCTTAGCCATTCTTTTAATAGTTAAGGTGTTGTCTTACCTCCTCCAGGGCCTGGCAGAGGGGCCTTCTTTGTGGGTGTGGATATGGATGGCGACAGGCCCTTTCCGGCAGGCTGTATAATGGTGGGCTTTGGTGAGACAGGAGGCTTAACACTGCGTTCTGGAGTCTGTGCTATATGCTCTGCGTTGTCCTGTCGTCCTGTCCCTCCCACGCTCAATTCTGAAACGGGCCGGCGCTTTACAGTCCCCATCCCATTCTGATACACAGCCAAAGGCTCCATCCCTATTCCTCCGCCTTCCTTGTCTCGAGGCTTGGGCCTCCGCTTGACGGTGTCCGATTCCGTCAACAGGAATTTCACATCTCCAGAATGCTGGCCCTGTCTGGCTCTCACGCGACGCTTCAGAGTCACGCTAGACTCAACAGAGGTCAAGTCCGTGTGCTTGGCAGAATCTGCAAGTGAGTCTCCCTGTTCTGTCCGTGACGGCCGTGGACGATGTTTAATAGTCGGCTTGCGCTCCTCTGCAAAGGGCATGACATCAGAAGGACTGCGTGGGGAATCTGGTGACCTTGACACCTCTTGCCGCTCTCTTCGAGCTGCTGTTACTAAACCAGTCAATGGTCCGCTGATGGTTCGCCGACGGTTAACCACCTCTCCATCCAGACCGATGGCTTCACGGTGTTTGACACCAGCCACAGTGCCTGGGAATCGGTGAAGTTCAGGGCTGCCCGGATGAGGTAGGAGGTGAACACAGTAGCCATCAGATCCTCTTGGCCTCAGACCAGTCATTGCCCTTGGCCCACCACCAATGGATGACAATTCCAGCATAGCAGCGATACTCTTTACACTGCCGGCACTTCCAGTGTCCACTATACCACCAAAGTCACTTGCTCTTCTTTGTTCTCGGTAACACTCTCCTCCTGCATCCTCAGCAGACAACCCATCACCGAGGTTGGTCCCAGAGATGGCAGAACTGGAACGTTTTGGTGGTGGTGGTGGAGGACCCTTTTTTCTGGGGCGCACTGCAAATGACTGACTGCGATTTACATTCTTGTCACCTCCAGACTGTGCTCTTACAGAGTGACTCCTACCAACTCGCCTCTGCCCTGTGCCATATGGACCTCCATCAATAACCAACAGCTCCTCGCGCTCTCCATCAGAACCTGCATAACGATTCAAACTGTGGGCCCGTTTTTTGGGTCGGCCATGATCACTCCTCTCTCCATCCTCCACATCCTCATCTTCTCCCTCACTACCTGCTGGTGGAAGGCACAGCACTGGAACCGACACTGGTAGCACGGGCACTGCCTGTACCAAGTGAGCGGGAATTCCTTCACCTTCAATGGGTTGTGGAAGAACATAGGCAAAGCCTCTGTGCGTGGGAGACTGAGGCAGAGAGCGGGGAGACATGGGTCGGTCAGATGGTGGAAGAAGCTGGGGTGTTGGCTTGACTTTGGCAGTAGCTTGAGGAGTGTTAGCCTGTGGGGAAGAAGGAGTCCCTTTTGTTGGGGTCTGTGGAGGGGTGTAGGTCTGCCCTCCAGGAGGAGGGAATGACTGCCGGGGTTTTCCTGGAACAGGTGGCACGCTGGCCCTCTTCACTGAATGTCCTTGCCTGAGAGGTCTGGACTCTCTAACCACTTCCTCTCTCTTCACATCTTCCGTTAAATATTCCTGGCTCTTGGACATAGGAGAGCTAGGTGTCTTGGTTCCATCTCCCAAGAGTTCTTGGGAACTGCTGATATGTCTAGCTCGGCCGCTCAGACTGCTTTCGTGGTGGAGCCTTGCCCCTGAGGGACCTCGATAAGATCCTTCTCGATGGTGCACCACATGGTTAATCTGCTTTTCAGGGCCATCTGGAGTCTCGCTACTTATAGCTGCTTGCAGCTCATCACTCAGTTCGCTGTCTTGGAAGGTTTTCATTTTAGGAGACTGGCACTCGCCACTGTCTGGAGGAGGCGAATCAATGCTCATTGCATCAATGCTCTTCTGAGGTGGCCTCCTTCTCATGCTGCCCGAGTTGCCATACTCTGACCTCTGGATCTCCGCCAGCTTCTTTACAGCCAACATCAACTTCTTTTGGTGACCTTAAATTGGGAGAAAAGAAAAGGACAGTGAGTTCCTGATGCCAGTGACAGTTAGAGACACTGCCGCCTGCCCATTCAGGACAAAATAAGTGCATAGACCCCACTCTTCCCATACCCCTGCAAGGTATACTCAGCCATCCACAATCTCTTCACCACCTCCCCACTGAGTCCAATCCACACTGGGTAAGCTCTGAGTTCATATGGTGTGGATGACCTCACTGCCCCACCCAAAGTGTGTGACAACGTTCAGGCCTAGCTATTGGTCGCTGCCCCATGTCCTGAAGCCATGCTTCATTGGGGCATGAGCTCATTGATATGCTTTTACTGTCCAATCATAGGCTGGGCAGGAGACCTGTAAGTGTTACTTAACTGCAGTAAGATAAGATAGGGTCTCCTAACCAGAGACAGCACTGTGCTGTGAGTTGTGTGAATCTTAGGAATGGATACACATAAATACAAATCCTTTGGCAGGTAAAACAGTTCCCATATATGTATTTAATTGTGTATTTAAGTGTTTGCCTGGAGCTTCAAAAACACACATACAGTATACACATATAGATAAGAACTTGTGTAGCCAACACACCATGGACTCACACCAATAGTGTCAGGGCAATGTCTGGTGGTCACACAGGATCTCCAGGTCACCAGGGATTGATTATTTGCCGTAATGGGAGATAGTCAAGATCAGTGAGCCAGCAGCAATACAAGATCTGACCGATCTGATTTTTTTTTTTTTTTAATCCAGTGGCCAACTTCTACTTGTTCATGAAGATGTCCTGTGTAGCCTCGGAACATAACGCTGACACGGTTTGTGATGTGGTCACTTTAATGAATGTTGGACTCTTGATGAGTCCATGGTATGTTGGTGGCATATGTTCTTATCTATGTGTTGCCACCAGACAACCTCCTGGCAGTTGCTTCAGCACCCTCTTACACTAGGCTCTCTCCAGGAACATGTGCGATGGGAATATATTGAGTGACACACACACACATATGCACACACACACATGCACGCACGCGTATAATCTAATAATTAACATATATACTGATGACATTTTCCGGAACTGCAGTTCACCATATTGACTGCTTCCACCCGTCCTTAGTGATGAGGACGTTCCTTACCCAGTTTAGTGATTCCAATCTCCTGCAAGTCTTCCCATGTGATATCGGTGATAAAATCAATATTCTCATAGCCATTCTCTACCAGCACTTTGTAATACTGACCCAGCCCGATCATTGAAAGCCAGAGGGACAGGTTGGCCTAAAGAGAAAAATGAAAACGTATGAAAATGTATATTTCTCCTGGAAACAAAGTCTGAGCACAGGCCTCCATCTCTTCCCGAATCTCTCTGCCTCTACCCCCTGCCAGTTAGTTTTAAGGTCTATTGAAACCTGCACTGAGTAGAAATATGAGATGGCCACAAGGTTGTTTCAGGTATAGTACGTCCTCACAGATCGTAGTAGAGATCACAAAGATAGCCAACGCCTTTTGAGTGCACAATGGTCCTTCTTCATCAGGGCTTACATATGAGTATCAAAGCTTGCTTAGATAGCTGGACAAAGTTGCCAAACCAGCATTACAAGCATTGATACCAATCGCCTGAAGAACAGATGGTTTGGTCCAGTTCATATGAAATTCTTTCAGCTCTATAAACCCTGATGAAGAACTGTTGAACCCAGAAATGTGTTGGACATCTATGTGATATTAACTATGTTCAACACTGGACTGTAAACAACTTTGTGGTGCTCTCAACTTTCTACTTATTGCAGATATTCTGAGGACCTCTTCAGGCCTATTGGCACCTAGAGAGCTCTCTTTGTCTCAAGTAGCTGAGAACACTTTTTCATAACAGGCTCCACCATTATTGAGGTATCACTGAAACCTACAGGCAGGGCTCCCAGATGGAAAGCAGCAGGTAAGAGTGCTGTTGTAGAACCATTTGGGCTGCACTTAGTCCTTGTACATCTGAACATAACAAGACACAGAACTACATCCACCTGTCCCTATAGAAGCCTCACACCAAAAGGTCCCATTTACTATGTCCAATACTTACGGGTTTGTAATCAGGCAACCACTCCCCGATGTTCAGGCTGCTGATTTCCGAGACAATTTTTTTCCGGTGTCCCGGCTTTGTAACTCCAATGGCAGTAAGATCCTGTATATAAGAGACAGCATTTTAGAAAACGCCTTACCAATGAACCAATCATAAAACCAATGGTCTTATTTAATAAAGGCCGGAGGGAAATATGGAGCCCATCATTGCTGATCTCCTGAAAATGCCTCAATCCTTCTGAGTCATTAACCTGCAAGAAGTGTGCTGTGAGTAAAGTCATTAGTCCTAATCCTCAGGCCAATGGATCGGCACCATAGCCAGGGAAGGGGAAGGAAGGGATGGCAGCCTCCGTATTTTTCTCAGTATAATGGAAGAAACAAAGAGCAAAGTGTAAGGAGACGTTTTCCATTGTTTTACCAACTTGACACTGATTCAAGTTCTGACTTGTGACTGGTTGCTATGGCTACTGCACATCACTGCTCCACTTTTATTAAATACAATTCTATTCTGACACTCTCTTGGGTCTTTTTATTCTACACTCTGTTTGTCATAAGAACTTATGTGAATGCTACTTATTAACATTTTTCTTGAGGATCAGAAATGACAGAGCTGCAAACCTGCCCCTTAAAGGATCTGTATCTTCAAAGGTGATATTTTAGGTCCTGCTGAAGACTGGTGAGCTGAGTCAGCCCATGGCTGTTTATATGTCTTGCATATAAGGGAAATCTCTCATGTCATAATTCCAAATTCTATTCCTGCCCACCTTTGTGTGTTCCATCTTCTCCTGTTACATTCTCCATAATATAACATATAATATAAAATACATCAGGGATCGTGGGAACCCCTCATCATGGGCACAGCAGATGAGCAGACCCAGGAGCTCATAGTAGACATCTCCCAAATAAAGCTGCCAAGAAACAGATGTGGTTCATCTTGACTGCATTTGCCAAAACCTGGGATATTCGTTTTGGGTGGTCTGAGATATATAAATTACAAGGGTTCGGTGGCTGACTTAATGCAGGCAAGGTACTGAATGAATCTGATTAACCACAGAAACCGTTTCATTTACATATGCTGGATGAGCTGGCAGCCCTAAGAAGGAACAAAACAGAATCAGGTCTGTGGAGCACAAAAGGTCAAGGAGGTCTCTTTATGTTTATGACAGAGGCCCGTCCTTTGGTCACCTGGGCCTTCTGTTAAGGCACCAGACACAATAGGTGACTAATGAACCAAACAAATGGCTGCCACATGGGGGACACAACCTGCTTCCTCCCTGAACCATCTTCAAATCTAAGTCCTTGCCCAACTGCGATGTAACTTTGAAATACAGAAATGTTCCTTGACAGGCAAGTCCAAAAACCAACCAGCCTTTATTCAAAACAGTGGCAATGAACCAAACGTACCCTACAAAAAGCCTTTGATCCCCAATGTTTACCTTTACCACCGTACTGAGGTGCATGTCCAGGCTTTCTGTAGGGTAATTGCCTCTGTCTTCAATAAAGGTTGGTTTCTGGACTTGCTTAATGTCTACGGTGTTTGATCCACCAGTTCTGGTAACATCACAGGAAGTAAAAGCCTGCATGCCACCAAAGGCACAAATGTGTTACCCAATCCAGCCGGTGATACTAAGCAGGGAAAACCTAAATAGTGGATGACATAGGCATCTGTAATTATAGGCGCGGAATGTTTATCATTCCCCTGTGTGACCAGGTAACATCATGGAAGAAAGCGTTCGATACTTGGAGGAACAATACTGAGCGCAAACTGTTTCTCTGCAGCCTCCCTCCCCCCCCCCACTCCCACTCCCCATCCTCTTACCTCTGGTGTCATGCGGCTGATGGTTGGGATGTCATAGCCAGAGTTGATAAAATTAGGAGCATAGACCTGGAGCTGGAACTTGCACAGCCACTGGAACACAGCTTCTGAGCTCTGTAGGACATACATACACACACACACGTTACAACACATCAAAAAAGGCCAATACTGTCAAATAATTATTCTTCCTCTCTATTGACTTACATATTGTTATAGTATATACTCCATATACTGTACACTAAGTAGCTTAAGGGCAACTCCTGCCAAACGCACAACAGTAAACATTGTGTAATGATTTCCAAACTTGTGTGATCCCTCCTTCCCTTCTGTGCAACACTGATCTGCGGACTATGTGCCACTGTGCCCTCCTGGCAGCTCTTCGGACTACTAGTTTAAGACACCAGGGAATCTTCTGCATTAGAGTGACACTAAACTCAGGAATTAAACCTTAAAAATACATTCAGGTACCTTCACTATTACCAAGAATATATCTTATTTGTGTATCACTCGGCTGTAGATCCTCCAATCATCTCTGAATTTGTGCTGACACTGTCCTTCCTTCTGGAGGGGGGCTACTTTTGTTCCCCATGGTCCCTGTGTGTGTTGTAAAGTAGTCACCGCTCCAAGCTCGCTCCCCGGATGGACTACAATCTCAGGTTTAGTTTACTAATTTGTAGAGGTGCACCGAAATGGACATTTTTAAAGCGAAACAAAACCGAAATTAAAAAAAATGTCAGGCCGAAACCGAAAATGTTTTTTATTTTTATTTATAAACTTTTTAATTTTTTAATTTTCGGCCGATATGTTTCGGCGGCCGATATATCGGTGCATCCCTACTAATTTGTATTGAGATTGTAGTCCAAAAAGTTATACATTTGCAGCTCAGTGCTGCCTCTTTCACCATTTGTATATGGTGGAAACTAGAAACACAAAGCACACAGCTCACCCCTATCATGCGTCCTTGTAATCCACATTCGGTGCACGGATGATTCTCTTCTGGTGTGATAGGCTCAAAAACTGTAAGACCAGCACATAATGATCTTCCAAAGAAACTCAAACTTTATTCCACTATTTAGCTATACAAAGAGCAACTGCTGATGCGTTTCTGCCTTACTCAGCCTTAGTCATAGCTGGTTGTGATCTAACACCAACTCCAATAGCTAGTTTGTGTCACAACCAGCTATGACTAAGGCCGAGTAAGGCAGAAACGCGTCAGTGGTTGTTCTTTGTATAGAAGCAAATGGAATAAAGTTTGAATGTCTTTAGAAGATCATTGTGTGCTGGTCCTGCGATTTCCATATGGTGGCCCCGAACAGTCTTGACCTGTCATTAGGACCTGCAGGCCACACCACATTCTGTAATATTATTTATTTTGTCATTTTATTTCTGCAGAAGATCTCCCCACGGCTGATATTCTATGTAACAGAGCGGACTGGAAGAAGACAACAGCAGAGAATGTTAGTCGCCTTGTATAAGGTAGGACAGAATGAGTGCAGATGTGTCAGGGGACAGCAGAGAGCCGGCTTCACTTACATGCAGTAATTAATCACAGCTGGGAGATCAATGCATTGATTGCGGATAAGAATAACCTACTTCAAGGTGAACCTGTTACATAGATACTCCCACGGCTTAACCTGAGCTCAGGCTGCACTGTGCTGCTTCACAGATAGGGGGCAGCCAAGTACAAGAGACGGAGGATGGCAGGTGATGGTAACACAATGACACTGCTATACGTCCACATACTCATAATGACTGATTGACCCTCTGTGTATTCAAATCCTTTTCTTGAGTCTGCTTTGGTTCTGATCTGTATGACAACACTACTTATAGAGCTATATAAATAAACATACTAAGTACCTATAAACAATGTACAGTATAAAAGTGTCTTAAGATATACGTGAACCCAATCACTAAAAGTTCTAATAGGTTAAAGTAACGTCAAAAGTTGATTTCAATCCTTTTAAATCTGCAGATTAAAAGCATAGCTGGCGATCCTGCCATTACAGGTGACGAAGGTCTCCTAATGGTGCTCGTGTGTGGTGACCACAATTGGCCATGCTGACACACTGCACAGACATCGTTGTCACTATCATGGTCTATAGCAATGATGTGCAGCCAACACTGGAGTAATTTCATGTAGAAAAAAGTGGCTGAAAGATGCTGGAGGAGATCAGCAGCACTGAGATACATAAAAGGATGATATATAGTATACAAAAAGTGTATACACAGAATGTAGACTGTTTGTATAAAACATAATGGTTGAAAGAACTGTATCTTACGTGGCAAACTAAATACCGCAAAAGCTTAAAGCTAGCCATACACTGCTCAAAATTTGGCTGATTCCTATTCCTCAATTGGCCAAAATTTGAGCTGTGTTTGGCCCATTGGCACCTCCCGGCATTAGCTGACTTTTGTAGATGGAGCTGGATGGAAAATATTCAGCCCAACAGTGATTGCATGCAATCAGATACAGGCACTCTTTAGGCATTCAGCAGCCGCGGGTCCCGCCAGCTTCTAAATACAATAGCTGGCAGCGGAGGTTCCCTCATTCACACTGATTAGCATGGATGGGGGAATTGAATGACTTCTCTCATTCAGCCCAGCGGGAGGGAAATCTAATAGGTGTATGACTAGCCTACCTCCAACCAGTTCTCATTCAAGAGATGCTTTATAAGATTTACTTCAATAGAGCAGTACATAGAATTATTTCAAAGCAATATCAGAACCAAATGAAAATAAAAGTACCAGTTCATGTGAAATATAAACTGTAACAGCCCTGATGAAGGGGACACACTGACAGCCTGGAACGTGTTGTAAAATTAATCCTAATATCAAATAATGTGCTTTTCAGTTGAGAACTATTTGTCCACCTTTTCATTGACCTCTTCCCTACTCTGACAAAGGTTGGCTTTAGATATAACCTAAGCTATAACAAAGGAAAAATAACAAGAGATAAATACTCTGGGAAAAAAGTGTGGACCTTTACAGCAGTGACTGCTTGGGACAACCCAGGTTATGTCAGGTTTTATGTTTCAGAGAATTAGTGCTTCTCTTATGTCCTAGCAAAAGGTGGCCGGGGGAGCTCCAGCAAGTCGGCAGGGTCAGAGTCTTGGCTCAGCTGCCGAAACTTGGGTTTGTGTTTTGTGCTTTCTCTTGGTGTTCGTATAGATCTGAAAGATGCTGCCGGCAACAGCAGGTGCTGGAGAAGCACATTTCATGTCTTTGATACGTCAGCCATATTGACATCTCTGATATGGGAGAAGATATGATCAGGGTTTTTGAACCATCTGCCCCCCCCATTCCCCATTTCAAAAGCTTTAAAGTTTCACACATATACTGTAAACATTTCATCTAACTAAAACATTCAGCAGCTCAGTGTGAGCAGAAGGCTCCCAAAATGAATCCTGTTACGCCTCGGTAACGTCGCCCTAACGATCCCCTTGGCTGACACACACCTCCTACTGCCTCTGGGACATCTCCCCGGCACCTTATTTTGGTGCATCACCACCATGGCAAAGAATAAAGAATGCTCCTGTAGCCCGGGATCTGCAGCTCAAGATGATGGCAGCTCCCAGTACTTGGTTCCCCTCAGAAGCAAGACTCAGAGGGACCACGCCAGAGCTGCAGCAGCCACATGCTTACATTCTATACTTTCCTGGAATGTAAGAGACGTGCGGCATATGACTGCTTTATAATTACCACCATCGATTCTCTGCTTTCAGGAAAACCATGCCGACTATGATGCTTGTAGATACCTCCAGAGAAAGTCTTCTCAGTTTACTATCCACTCCAGTTACTACTCCTAGGCACTACCAAGCTACTGAACTACATTCCCTCTGTTGAATTGCTGCTGAGGGGATTACCTGACCACTGTCCACTTCTTGTTACTTTACAACTTCCCTGGGAGCTTTCCAGAGGGTTGCGGCACCTGAACCTATTCTGGAGAACTCTCCTACAACTTGAGGTTGACCTGGACAATGAAATAGAGATGCTTCTTACTGCAAAGGAGTTCTCAGTACTCAGGGTATAGTATGGGACATACTATAACCTGCTATCAAAACTGGTAGTAGAATAGCCGAGGAAGAGATATGGCAATGGATTTAGCTTTGTCTGTGACTCCATCTCAATAGCTGTAGACAAATAAATCCTCTCTCCCTCAAAAAAGTCCAAAACAGGCAATTATTTTAAAAGCATATCTTCTGTTCAGAAGGAGAGCAAGCTGTTAAATTGCTTGTTTACAGCAAGACAAATGGTATGTTGGGGCCGTTAGAGATGCTAAAGGGAACCTCCAAATCTCCTCTAGTATGATTCTCATTTCTGTTCTATATAACTCCTAAGCTCACTATGCTTCCCTCAACCTATATGACTTCATAGCCAATATTCAGCTGCCAACTCCTCCAATAGATGCCACAACCATTTTGGATTTCCCTACATTTACATTAGAATCTGCTATAATGAGCTTTCACAGCTGCAAAGCCCCCGGATCTGATGGTATTGAGATGTTTAAACACTATAAATCCTGTTCATTGCCAGGTCTCGTTATGACCCTTAACAATGCTCTGGATTCTGAGCTTTTACCAGCCTCTATATACACAGCCATAGTCCTTCTTGAAAAGGACAGAACCTCTATTTGCTGATTATAACGCCAACAGATGTCAACATCCTAAAAAGTGCTTGCTATGGGTTTGGCTTGAGTTGTACATACTATCATACATTCAAACCAAACAGGATTCATGTCAAATAAGTACCCAGCCCATTTAATGGTGTTGAGTGGGGGTATCAGTCCGGCAGTCTGATGATCTTGCTTCCCCAATTATTGCACCTACCTCCACAACAACCCAACCTGGATCCCCCTTAAGTTCTTTAAACAGATCAACGATTTATTCTGGGATCCAACTTGGTGAAAGAAACAGTTCAGAATACATTTGGAGACCCTCTAATACCCAAAAGACTTGGGTGGTCTGGCTGCTCCCAACCCTCGGTTGTATTTCATAGCCTCCCTGAGGCAACACTTTTGTAGATGGGAGTTAGGTAACCCTTGTAATATCTGTTTATAGGGCAGAACACTATGTATTCCCTTGACTCATGTACGTACATTTAGACTATCCTCACCATCATACAATGCAACATATGGGCAAGGTATGGAATGCAACTAAGCAGATACTGTGTGTTATGAGGTTCATGCCCCTGTGGGCAAACGGCCTTCTGACAGAAGCTGTCACACTTCAAGGTTTTCAGCTGTAGAAGGCTTCTGATATCCTTCTTGTTAAGCAGGTGAATGTCTAAGCATTTTAAAACCTTCTATCAGCTTCTTTCCCTGAATAATAAAATCTTCTTCCAGCACTTGCAGATTCAACATGCCATCCAAGCATGCAGCATCTGGATTCACATGCGGTCTTGCCAATCTCTAGATCTCTGACATTGATTGTACTAAGATGGGTTGTGAATAGGGATGCACAGATACCGATACTAGTATCTGTCCCGATACCGAGTATTTGGGCGAGTACTCATCCAAATGTTCCAATGCCTGACCCGATACCCAAACTTCCGGTTTAAGGAAGCCGGGCAGCGAGTCATTACATGCTACCTGGCTTCATAATTGGCCAGAAAGCCGTCCCATGCTCCCTCGTCACCAAGTGATGAGGGAGCATGGAGCTGGCTTCCCGGCCAATAAGGAAACTGGGCAGCATGTAATGACCCGCCGACTAGCTTCCTTTTTGATGGGGAAGCTGGCCAACCAGGTAGCCGGACGGCGAGTCATTACCCGCCCCCGGCTTCCTGATTGCCCGGGAAGCCGGCCCCAGATGACGAGGGTGGTTGGGGCCGGCTTCCCGGCCAATCAGGAAGTCGGGTGCCGTGTAATGACTTGCTGCCTGATTTCGTGATTGGTCGAGAATCATTACCCGCCCCCCAGCCTCCTAGTCAGAAAGCCGGTTCCATGCTTCCTCGTCACCTGGTGACGAGGGAGCATGGAGACGGCTTTTGTGCTATTTGGGAAGCCGGGTGGCGAGTCATTACACGCCGCCTGGCTTCCTTAATGGGACTTCCAGTATCGGTGCATCCCTAGTTGTGAACATCCCCCCTTCCTTAGAAATGAGATAACAGAATTAATACACTTGTACTGTATCTTTTGAGAAAACTACATGTGAGCAATGTGTGGCTCATAACACACATGCACTGATATGGTCCAGATGGTTTGGGATGTCACTTAGTGGTGTGGGAGATTTTCACCTCTCCTTGCCCTAGATCTTAAAGATTCTAGGCCCATAGTGGAATAATGGCGGGGTAAAGACCATGTACTCTGTAAGATAACGCCTCTCTTTTTCTTACTCTGTGGTCTCATGTTTGTAGAGGTTGCTTGTCCCTCCCTGTATCATCGGAAATCTCTCGGCCTCTCTGTGTCTGTCAGCAACATTTTGTGTTTGGAAACTGTACACTCGCTTCAAAAATAAAATCTGATATAAAAAGCACAGAGAACATTCTACAAATATATTGGGTTATAAATATCCACAGTGATTGGTCTCAGTTACCTTTCCTTCGGTCATAGGCTCCATCTTCTTCGAGTGGTCCCCGTACGTCTGTTCAATATTGGGAGAGCTTGATACGCTCTGGGGTCGCGGAGGTCCTTAATGCATGAAACAGAATACATCAGAATATATTCAGGACTGTATATCACCTACTGTAATTCTGAACCTAGACACAGCTCTGATTTATCTCTAATCCAAGCAAAGGCATGGCAAGAAAATCCATAGCCAAGTCACAGGGGGGGGGACAGAGAAACCTTTATCTACAGAGAGAAATCTTTGGAAAGTTAAGTACTGGAGTCTCTCGAGAAAGAATAAAAATAACAAATATTCACATTGTACACAGTGCTGGTGATAACGAGATTACAAATAATAGTACTGCTTAGCCATTGTGAGTACAGAACAACGCAGGGGATCAGATTGCCAGGGAGACATGCAAAACAACATGAAGGTTTAAAAGGATCTTCCGCCTTCAGATGACTTCCATGTGCTGGCCTTTCCCCTTTATAGGAATACTAAAGACATCTGGGTTGATTTTAAAGTGCATTTCCACTTCTGCAGTCATATTGGGATATTGCCCACTTTATATTTGTTACATGTTCCCATTCACATAGCATAACATTTACCACCATTTTATATACTCTTTTCTAAAAACTCTATTTAGCTTCCATTTCTCTGTAATATTATGGAGTGTTTGCTATCATTAACCCTTTCTGAACTGTGCTGGCAGAATTCATTATCAGATGTTAACTAGATGTCCTAAAGATGTCAAGATGTGGGTGGTACATTGTAAGGTAATGCACCGTCTCTCCAGTCTGTCCCTTACCTACACATCGCCATTATTTCAAAGCAATGGAAGCTGCCCATAGAGTCCTATATGTGATCCTGCTCCAAAGAGATGACTTCAAAGGTAAGATATATTGCTGTATGAATGGAAATACTTAACATAACATATAATGGGGGTTTCTCAAATTTAACTGCAAAGGTGGACATACACTTTAAGAAACTAGCAGCTGTATTTAAAAGGAGAACTATGGGGTTAAGGCTTTTCCCCATAGTTCTCCTTAGGGTAACAAACTAGCATCCTCCCGTCAGCGAACGGCGGTATGTGTTCGCTCACCTCCCGATCTACTGAGCCGACCTGTGACCGTCTCATTGTCACAGGTCGGCTAGAACTATGAGGTGAGTGAAAAGCACGCCCCTCATAGTTCTCCTTTAAAGGAATGCAAGGAGCAAAGCCCTGGACCCTATAACCCATAGAAGCGAATTAGAATGTAGTTTCTTATTGAATGCGAACCTGCCTCTCAGCATCATACTAAGAGGCTTGCATCAAGATATGGTACCATGGTGGTTAGCAAGGGTACAAAGGCCAAACGTCCATGGCATTCAAAGGGCTGTCGTTTTATTTTCACAGTGGGCCAAAGTAATGCAAAGAGAAGTCTTATCCCATAGCTGGCGTTTGCATGACACCACAAAACCTGCCACAAACCTGGACACTTCCATAGATCGCAGGATTGCAGATCATTTAAACATACCACACCCACTGATGTTCCTTCTCATCTTACATGTAGTTGCTCAGCACTGTGATGGGTTTAGTCATAAGTCTGGAGGCTGTCATGGCTTTGAACATACCAGTTCTTTGGCTGTCACGATGATCCAGTAGCTTCAGTACTTTCTGAGGCATTGAATTTGGGACATGTATGCCAATTAGAAGTTATGATTTCACTCTGACTTTCTATACGACATGCTTGCTTCAGCTTAGGGGTCTATTAATAAATAATTTGCAAAGCCAATGTCCCTGTGAATGTTCGTTCTGTGCAAATGGATGCACAAAATGAACATTCTTATTTTCTTTATATGTTGAATGTATTTTAGAATGTCGTCTTGTAGAACTGCATTATGGCGACTAGATGGGAGCTGCAGAGCGTAGGAAATGAATACTGTAATATATTACAATTTTGTTCTTGGGATCTGATATGGTTTATAGCCGGTTAGGCAAACTTCAGCCCCCCAGCTGTGGTGCAACTACAAATCCCACAAGGCATTGCAAGACTCTGACAACCGCAGGCAATTTCAGAGTCAGATGCATGATGGGATTTGTTGTTTCACTACAGCTAAAGGGCTGGATTTTGCCTACTCCTTTTACTGAAGCAAAAGATAGCAAGTGTTTGCAGGTGGCCACCAATGGCATCCCCCCTATCTCCACCATTACAGGTTCCTTTAGGGCAGGTTCACACCACATCATCTCCAGACCACACACCAGCACAGTCCGTTCCAGATCAGACCAGAAAAATACTGCAGACCAGATCTGGAACGCAGTGCATTGCGTTTTTACTGCAATTTTGCCGCTTTGGGAAATTTTTGTTCTCAGCCTAAAATGGTCTTACAGGTGAGTTTCTCTGCATTTTATGCAGTCCAGTGCAAATAAGCAGTATTTTTCTGGTCTGGTCTGGAAAGGACTGTGCTGGTGGGAATAGAGGCCAGAAATAGCATAGGAAAACATTAGGATGCATTTTGGGTCCGGAAACAATCTTGTCTGTTCTGGAGATGATCTGGATGTGGTGTGAATGGGCGCTCAAGCAGTGCAGTCACACTACTGTGTAACCTGTTGACTGACGAGTGGCTTTTGCAGCATTGTGTTTTTAAAGAGGCGTTATATAAACACCAATACAGAATAAGACATGAAAGACCAGAAGGCAACAAAAAGGGATCTGTAAAAAAGACACAAGACAAAGAAGACATCAAGGAGGAAACTACAGCACATGAAGACAGTGCAACACCGGGAGGCAAGGGATGTATAAGAAAGGGTGCAGTTCTGTGGGACATAAGTACCAAGCACATTTCTACTGTTAGTAAAGCCGGAGGGTTATCAGTCCAACTAGTAAAAGTACAAACTCATTTACCGTGCTGAAAGCAAACCAGGGCTGTTAATGTCGGTAAAGGGTTATCTGCATACCAATACATTGTTAATGATGTTAAAGGGTTGTTCCAGTGCATGAACTAGTCGCTATACGTAGTAGGCAGCACTGTATACCATTCCACACATGGAAATAAACAAATGCCTTCCAGCAGAAATGCTGAGTATAACCACCAACTTCCCCGCCCGACAATGGCTGATGAAACAAATTCCCCAATGTCTTGTCACCGAGAACACAAATATCATGTAAATATTGGCACCTCGGGGATCGGCTCCCTAAACGATCATTGGTTTAATAAATGTACTTTTGCAGGGTGCATGATCACTAAAAGTAGATGTAAACCCTCCATGAATGACATTCAGTTTGCCAAAGCAAAGCACTGTGTGTCATAAACAACTACTTTTGCTTTAACAAACTAGTTTTCCCCTTTCACTTCATCCTTTCCAGCCACTTCCTCTCTACATGCACTCCTTGCAATGGCTGCATGGCATTTCTCAGAGCAAGTTTCCTGAAGGTGACAACAACACGCCATGCCTGTGTCACATGTGTTAAAACAGCGAGAGCACAGTAGAGGGCCAGAGACAGAGCGTTGTCACCCTGTAACAGGAAGTGCCCAAACAAGACCTTCATGGCAGAAGCACTAGGTATTATTTGAAATCTGCAAATGTTAAACATGACATGGTAAGTTTTCTAGGAGTGATATAGACTGTAAGACTGGGGGAAACAAGTAGTCATACTCAGCATTGTGCCATTATGCATTGTTTATTTTCATGAAAATCCTGCTTCTTAAACTGGATTTTTTAACTCCACGCACCTGTGTGGCCCTCACAGGCGTCTCCAGGCTCCTGCCCCAATGCCTTCTGGGAAAGAACAGTGGCGAGCAGCTGAAATGGAACGGGCGTGAGGAGAGAACCAAAGAGCATGTAAGAGGAAAAGTGTGAGATGAAGAAATATGGAAATGTGAAAGGATAACTCCACTAAATTAAGTTGTTTATATAACTTCCACACAAGGTATTCAACAATTTATTGTTATTAAAATTACTTTTCCATTTCAGTCTGAAACCAGAGGCCTTGTGTAGACTAGACGTGTTCCCGGGAAATGTAATTTCCTGCTCACTACTGTACTCTGTAGTTTTCTCTTATTGCACTGGGACTGATCATGTGACTATAGAGGACAGACACTCCCACATCGCAAACAGGAATCAGGAAATGAGCAGAGTGCATGTGCCTGTTTCTAACCAAACAAAAGACAAGAGTCTGCAATAAAGTTGTACTGACATTCTTGTCTTGTATGTAACGGACATTAAGAGGTTTTTGTTAACAAAAGGCCTAAATCCCAAAAACCAGAGCAATGGAAATGAGATATTTGCTTTACTAAACTAGAAAATTGCTAGAGTCTGATTGGCTGATGTGGTCAACACCTCTTTTGTCTAACTGGTATTTATAACTGAACTACAGACTCATAGCCCTCATTCACACGGTAATGGCCGGCCCGTACAGATCCATGCTGCGTGCACGGCCGTATCGGGCTCTCCCGGGAAGGACAGGTGCTGCGTGTGATTAGTACGCAGCAGCCTGTTCTTCTCTATGGAAGTACGCGGTCGTACGCCACCCTACGCTCACCCCAAGTGCATGTCCGTACGGGTGCAGGTGTCAGACAGCATCCACCCTGTCAGCATACGAATACGGACACCTAGGGCCGGATTTACGCTCTCTGCTGCCCCAAGGCCAGGTTCCTCAATGCGCCCCCCTACCCGCCAAACCCCCCCCCCCCCCCACCGAGAACTGGACACCCACACGGCGCGACA